GGTTGAAACGACAGTACGTCAAAGAACAGAAAATGAGTTGTTGCCGGCGATAAAAATCTGGAAAAGGCTTTATTTTCCAACGATTTATTTAATGGAATATCCTTGAAACGTGAAGTTTCAAAGTCACTGCAGCTTGAAACTGCAAGTGACGTCAAGACGCGTGGCGTGTTGGAGTTAACAATAAAATATAGCTGGAAGGAAGGAAACATACGATTCTGGATGGAAAATTTGCATTTCCACTGGAGTTTTGAACGCCTCACGCCTGATTTTGTTGCTATTTTAGCACAAACTTCCGAAGCCATTAACTCATATGCTTAAATAGACTGTTAGATTAACTGGAGAAAAGTTATTTTAGTTTTCCATCTTTAGAAGATTTCCATCCTCGTTTTACGCGGCATATTTTTACGCGGTTTACTTACACGCGGTTTTATTAATTCCATATTAGATAGAAAAGGTTTATACAGTTCATACCAAATAAACTTTTAGTCACGTGATTAAGCTTGACCGGCACAGCGTTGCCTACTTTTATATATTTTCTTTTAATCAAAATATTTTAGGAAACAAAAATATATTAATTATAAATTTATAAACAGTTATTATTTACATCAACAAAAGTCACCTTCTTAACAGCACTTAAGGGACATAAAGGGCCATTACTACCGCTTTCCCGTTCAAAATATTATAATAAAGTTGCGATGAGTTTTTTACGGCTATTAAGCTAATTTTGTAACCTAACCACTTCGCACTAAAAGAGGTTCTAAAAAGAACAATGTTCGACTGTATGGTCTGCTAGTAAACATTTTCAAGCTTAAAGTATCACAACACTATTTATTTAAACCAAAAACTCGTAATACAAAACTAAAATGTCAAAACGAATGACAATGTCAGGAAATAAAGAAATAAGTGTGGCAACTTGACATTTATCTTACAGCAGAGCTACCACTTGAATCCCCAGTGCGAAATTTAAATTCCAGTTAGTCAGCACGGCGCCGAATATGTCCATGGTTGGTAACAATGAATTTAAAAGTCGCGCCTTCGATTATGTAACTAAAAGTTTAATTCGAATGAAATACAGGGTGGCCCATCGAAAACGTTCCGCAAGGCATAACGGCCAGGGTAATTTTTTTCAGAAAATTTATAAACACGTCAATTTTGTTTGTGAGGGGGACAACTTTTGCCCCAAAAATTATTGCAAAATCTTCAACCCTCTAAGCGGAGGTGTCATCCCCCGATTTTTTTCAAATGGGAAGGGGCGTCAAGGGGTACCGCAATGAAAAGGGCTTTCTATTCTCTATACTCTCCTGCTACGTTTTTGAAGATCGGTCGAGTCGTTGGGAAAATATGAAGGATTGAAATTTGAAAAGTTTTTTAAACATTTATCAGAGTAAATGATAAGGATAAATTCCTTCGACCAATTTGCTGTTTTTTCTTATTATTTCTAGATGTTAGCAATCGGGTTGCGCAGATATTCAATGAACGCCATCCTGACAAACACCTTTATTGCAAAATTGTTCGCCAGTTAGTAGCAAAATTTCGCGAAACTGGTTCCGTTATGAATAAAAAGAGGCAGAGGGAAAATCCTGTAGTAAATGAAGCTATGGAGGTATTCGTATTGGGCCAAGTTGCCATGGACAGTATTCTGAGTACAAGAAAATTAGCCAATAAGACCGGCGGGAATCGTGCAAGTTTCCAAAGGATATTAAAAAAACACAAGTTCCACCCGTACAAAATTCAGTTGGTACAAGAACTCAACGAAGACGATTTTGATCGTTGCTTGCAATTTTGTGAAACTATGAGTGAACGAGTGGCGAATGATAATAATTTCCTATTTAATGTGTGTTTTTCGGATGAGTGTACTTTTTTTTTGAACGGTGTAGTTAATCGGCACAACTGTCGGTACTGGGCTGAGGACAACCCCAGGGTTTCACGAGGTGCAAACACAAAACCCTCAGAAATTGAACGTGTGGGCTGGTATTTTTGGAAATTCTATTGTAGGTCAGTTTAACGATATTGAGAAGAACTTCAACGTACAAGTCACAGAACAGCTATCTAGCAACTACCGCACCTGATCGTCCAACGTTGTGGCAAGGGAAAAAATGCGTAAACATCTAGAAATAATAAGAAAAAACAGCAAATTGGTCGAACTTATCCTTAATTATCATTTACGCTGATAAATGCTTAAATAAACTTTTCAAATTTCAATCCTTCATATTTTCTCAATGACTCGACCGATTTGCAAAAACGAAGCGGGGAAATATAGAGAAAAGAAAGCTCTTTTCATTGCGGCGCCACTTGCCCCTCTCTCCATTTGAAAAAAGTTGGGGGGATGACACCCCCCTTATAGGGTTGAATATTTTGCAATCATTTTTGGGGCAAAAGTTGTCCCCATCACAAACAAAATTGACGTGTTTTTGGATTTTTTGAAGAAATAAATACCCTGGCCGTTATGCCTTGCGGAACGTTTTCGATGGGCCACCCTGTATATGTATGTAACTCAATACAAGACAAATTAACAAATTGTAGAGTTATAACATACGATGAGAAACGGCCATATAGGTATTGGTTACTTATGGCCAGAAATTGGCCTATACGCAGGTGCCTAATATCAGAGATTAAATTAAAGAAATTAAATAGGAAAGTCGTTGCCTGAAAAGGGATTTAATAATGTTCATGAGGAAGATGTAATGACCTAAGTCACCGAAGAAGAATTCAAAGAATTGGAAGTTAAGACTGAAACTCAAGAAGGAAATACAGATGTAATACTGGCACCACACTGAAAACTTGACACAAATGTCTTACCATAGCACATGACACATCTTTGACAATTGAAGAAAGACTCAGCCCAATGTACCCTAGGTCCATGCTAAATCAAAGTCGAGTTTTTTTCACAATATTTTGAAGTAATCACTTGTCATCTTGTCAATCAAATTTTAAATAATTCCTGCTATGCGTTCCAGTTGTACCAACTTATTTCTTTGTAAAGTAAAATAAACTACTTTGAAATTAAAATGACAGACACATCTATCACTGTCAAGGATCTTCTCGTTGGACAGACTATATATTGGGGTAATTGTAACATTATTTTTTGGAGGACTTAACAAATCTACTGCTTTAAAGTTAAGGATTGAGTGTAGATAATTAACGGTAATGGCCATTCTGGCACATTTAAGCTCGTGCTGTTGCACCTGCGTCTGTTTGAGCGAACATCAAAGCGCCATTTTCTTTGTTTTGAGTGCACGATCGACGGAGCAGTGAAATTCAAGCCAACCACAGCGACAAGACGCGTCTAGTCCATCCGAAATCAAAACAACGTCGTGCAGTGTTGCCAATTTTTGGTGATATTAATTTTTATCAAAGAAAAAACGATAGCCACAGAGCGAGGAAACGTTAAAGGATGGTTCGTTTTCAAATAAAGATCGATTCTTTTTGGTAGCATTTGAACCTCGGTATCAATAATAATTCATATTTTATGAAGATTTTAACACCTTATACATTTTTTAAAATAAGCCATTTCTGACTCTATTGTGAATATTTTCTTAAAATAGGATTTTGATTTTTTTTATATTCTAGTTTAAATGTCTCACAAATTCTTTGGCTTCGTATTCAAACTCTTCCTAAAGGTAAATCGAATATACATTATATATAGTAAAATTGGCAACAAGGGCGTCGTTATTTTTTGGCACGTGAACGCCTCATCACAAAAAGCAAAAGCCTTCGACGTCGCGACCTCCAGCATCTATTAGTTTCGACGTTGCCAGATTTATATTTCCCTACTAATGGTGTAAATAAATAAAAAAGTAATACTCTACTTAACTTTTTAACGACCTGGAAAATAGCAACATTGTTAGTAAATTATCTTCTTTTCATTGAAGGATAACACTTATTTAATTCATTTCTGCATGTTACCCTAAACTTGTGACGCAAATACTATTTAACATAAAATTTTCATTTAAAAGATGAAAATAATTATCCTTTTTTGCTTCTAATAAGTTCGTTATCATTTATTTAATAGGCAGTACTATAGAGTTGTCTTATTACACAAGTTTTATATGTGTATTGTAAATTAACTATAATTTTTCACGTGATATATTTTTTATTTATTATTACATTTTTTGTTTTGGTTTTTGCTTTTAGAATTCATTAATAATGTATAACATTTATGCTATATCTAATATAACAATATCAATATATCAAAACAGTACCTTGATATTTTTATATCATATTTTGCATTAATTATTTGTAGCACGCTCAAGAAACAGATTAGAAAAATTAGAATTTGTATCTATCTATTTTTAGCTTAAGATTTCTAAAAACAAATTGTAATTTCTCACTCTATATTTTACGTTATAATATTAGCATAAGAGTTTTAGTATAATGTATCTTTTGCATATCTAATTACAAGATTCTATTCCATAGTAATAAATGCAGTTGAATTTTAAATGTGCTCTATAAATTATATACATACTATAAATAAACTTCGTAAGGTTAATATATACAAATAATATTTCTGATATAGGGCTTGTATGACTCTTGAAGGAAACATATATTTTTAAATATGGGAATAGTTACGTCTGTTATGTTTCTAAGCAAAAAAATATATTTAAATTGTGTATTTGGATTTTCCCTATTAACCTTGGCATATCTGTTTATTGTATATTGTAACAAAATGCATAGATAACAAAAAGTTCAACTAGGTATTCATCTTTGTTGAAATTTCTATGGGATTATTATCTTAGAAAAAATACATCAACTGTAAACTACATATATAAGTTAAAACACTCTGATATTGCAAAACACCTATTACAATAGGCGTAGAATAAAATATTTCGTTTTTATAGAAATTATTAATATTTTTATATTTTATTGTCTTTTAATAACTCACTTTCGCGATATGTTATATTATTTCTACGCCTACTGGGAGTTTTTTTATTTGATGAGTATTTAAACTATAAAGGCCTAACTAAAGTTGTTTGTTTTTATATTATTTTTATTAATTTCAGGATCTAACAGTTTTTCTATCGTTTATACCAGGCAGAGGATAACACCATTTTTGGTAAGACATATTTTGTGCACTAATAAATTTTATTTAATTATGGCATATGAGATTTTTTAGCATAAAAATTAAGACAAAATTTGTCTATATGGTTTGTTTTGCAAATCAGGTTATTTTAGTGAAGAGCTTTAATTCTTATTTAAATTAAAATGGGCCTCTATCTTGTATATTTATACATTATTGATCGTTTATCAGAGTAAACATGATATACGAACATGTAAGTAAGTGTTCTAAAGATAATAATTTTAATTGGCTGTTAAAACATTTATGTATGGAAATATTTACTTATATCTCAAGATAATTTAAAAGAATCTACATACAAAAACAACAAAAATATGATTAAAATTAATTTTGTATATTGTCCTAATACAGTTAGATGCTGTCAGAAGAAAAAAGAGACACTGATAATTTTTTAGGAAGAAAATATCAAAATGTCTTTTAAATTTAATATAATCTTTCTCTCATAATGAAAAAATTACCGCGACTATTGACATGTTACAGAATAAAGGGGTTTCATTAGGTTTCAATTACATTTAACGTTTTATTTGCTTCCGGCCTTTTATATTATATTTGTTACTTAATTAAATTTTGTGGCTAAGTTAAAAAAAATTATAAAGTATATTACATGATTATATTCAATAATTATAAATTAGAAATTTAACTAAAATTGAATCAGTGATACTATCTTTACAAAAACTACAGTAAATTATTAACAAATTGAACTTAAATTTTTGGAGAAAATATAGCCTAAACGTCAAAGTTGAAAAATATATAACATGAAGTCATATTGGGTCAACACACGTTTGTTATGCTTTATAAATCGACGAATAAATTGTGCAAATCTACTATAACAATATTTTGCCTTCGTCGATAGCAGAGGGAAAAAGTCTAATTAAAAAGAGAAAGACGCGGCAACGCGGCTGTCGCAGTGAAGTGAGGTCGTGTTGGTAACCCGACGCAGCCTGGCAGAGCCGCCGCTCCTTAAAAGGTATGGACGGCGGCTGCCTGGCTTAAGCCAGATCTAGGCTTGCGGTGACAGCCCCCGGCGCAGCCTCCTCTCAGCTTGGTCCGCGCCGTTGCCACACTAAACCAAGTTTATCCAACCTACGATATCTTTCCTTCGAGGTATTATTGCCAAAAGTTGGAAATTTTTTAGGATTCAAAAAAAATGTACTGTTTCTCACTAGATTACTTGTGCGAGGAATGCATGTAGAGAAAATTACACAAATCGTCCCCTACAAATCTCACGTACTGCGTAATTGCATTTTAGTAAATTTCTTAGAAGAACAAAAAAGTACCTGTAATAAAATTGTATTTTTTTAATCCAAATACTATCATTGTTTTGATACCGTGATAGATACAGTTACAGCACTTCATGAGATAAAACTTGCGCCTGTAGGGAAATGAAGATGAAGATACGTGAGATAAGAATGTACAACTTTGAAAAACCTCACTGTAGTATTGTGCAATAAAAAGGATTGGAAGAGAGAAAGGTTTGCACAACAAGAGCAGGTACAAGACCATACCATAACGTGGTATACTGATTCTTCCTGCTTTGTTCTGCTTTGGTTCTTCCAAAACCAAAGTGAAGAAATACTCCCAACGAATGGGCACCCACTCCAGCGTCCTTCAGGCAGAAATCTACGCTACCGAAAGATGAGTACCTACAGCTTATCTTAGATAGGAACTATCGGAAGCAAGAAATAACCATCTTATTCGATAGTCAAGCAGCATTAAAAGCGATCAACTCAGTAAACATCAATTCGAAGTTGGTAAAAGAATGCCTAGAGAAGCTAAACATATTAGGCAAAGATAATAAAGTCATCCTGCTCTGGGCACGCACCAAGGGATAGAAGGCAATGAAAAAGCAAACGATCTATAGCTAGAAAAGGAGCAGACACTCCACTAACACGACCAAAACCATTCTGCTTCCCAAGTGAAAACCAACTTAAAACGGAACTCAAGAACCAGGAAGATTCAATCCATAACCTGGAATGGGAATCCTCCAATGGTCCAAGACACTCGAAGACATTTCTCAGAACTTACGACCGAAGAAAATCAAAGATTTTCCTTGATTTAAGTAATTAATTAACAGACTTCGGGTTGTCATGGTTTTTTTAACAGGACACTGTCTCTTCAACGAACAGCTCAGTAGGTTGAAGAAATAACGGCGAATGCAGATTCTGCGAGGAAAATTGAGAAACAGCAGAGCACCTCGTCACTGAGTGCGTCGTGCGTCAATACGACGACCATTCATGCCATGAACTTTGGTATGACTGATATCAGTGATGGAGAACTAACCTCTGTAAAACCGTCTCAGATACTGATTTTTATCAGACTGGGACTGTATGATGAGTTATAACTCAAGAAACGGGTACATAATAGATCTGTAAGGTCGATGGTTACTTGTATTGCTAATTTACTTAATAAACAATACAAAAATATGTAAACAGGAGAAAAAACTCGCTGTTCTTAATTTTACCTCATTAGATACCAAATTATTATTCATATATCACTTTATTTAATGACAATATAATGACATAGCCCATAACATTTCTAGTTTTCAAAAATGTTGGCTACTAAACACAAAGATTGCAAAAGATTTTGTATTTTGCTATAAAACTAGAAAGAGTAAGATGTGCCTCACAAGATGTGCTCGTATTTAAGGAAAATCCTAACGGTAGCTATTAAGTGTTAAGGTGAGTTAAAAAATGCTTTTGAGATCATCTTGTGAATATTTTTTGTGTGAGAAACTATTTATTTTGCGTATGTGGATTTGTAGTGTCAGTTTAGGGATTAAAAACCCGTGTTCCGTATGGTTAAATTGATTTTTGTTGTTTTAACAAGATGAATGTACTTTTAAATGTTGCACAATATTATAATATAATATTATTATAACATTGTGCTAATGGATATGGAGCTTAAAATATAGAGTACACACATTTATACTTTTTTTTATTTTTTTTTGTGGTTCTATTATTAAGAGTATCTAATAAAACATTTACTGCTCTATAGAAACACTTTCACACAATCTTTGATTTATTTTTGTCCAGCTGTACTAAATATCCAAAAATATTCCTGTTTAGTTGACCTACACCAATTATTTTCTTGTTATCTATTATAGATCCTTTTTTTTACTGTTTTCTAAATAATTTGTGCCTCCTAGTGGTATTATTATCTCTTTATTTTATTGATAGTGTCAGTTTAGGGTTACTTAAGTTAGCACTTAATATTCCAAAATTTACTCTTTGGATTAAGTTTTCTTGTTTTGGTGGAAAGTATAAAATTGGGCCTTATTAAATTTGTGTTATCTTCTCATCTATTTTATGGATATTATGTAAAAAATTAATTTGTAAAAGAGGATTTTATGAGTTGATCGTAGTGTAAAATTTGAATTTAGCGTTCTGGTCTCGTGCGTCAGCAAAACCTCAGTAAATATTGAAAAGAATGCGCACCTTTCCTGAATGCCGGGCGAATTAATTATCTTCCTGAGTGAGTGCGTGTGTCCCAAATCACATCTCAACTAGAAAAAAAAGGCGTCCAGCCTGTCGCATGTGTTCACCGCCATCAAAATCATTGGGTTAAACCCGATAGTGCTTCTTACAGGGTTGGACCCTTTTTATTTATTATTTTTTTTAATAAAAATTTTACCAATTTTTTGTATTCTTTATTCATTGGTATGTACGGACTAACGGAGATATTTATGAGATGAAATCTCTAGTCTGATGTCAGAGCTTGTCCTACTTCTGAATACTCTCTTTTTATTTGAATTTTGATGAAATGGATATTTTTAAAATATTCTTGTTGAATTCTTTTATAACTAATTTCTTTATATATTTATTCCTTGAGTTGAAATAAACATTTTCAATATTTCCAGACCCCGATTTTGTCGTACACATATTTGCAATCGTGATTGCGAATTGCACAGTGATTACGGATTTACTCAAAACTTTATAAAAGACACGTCTCAACACGAAATAGATGTCATGATGCAGAAAGCAGAAACGGCTCTAAAATAAGATTCTTCGCGAACTATTAAATTGATATCAGTTTGCAGTAAAAGATCTGAATAAGAATTCGTGCGTTACATATTGGATTTAATACAGCAACATCTGCATTTGAAACAAACCGTACTTTAAAATGTGAATGTATTTTCTAGTCAAATGGAATTTTGCTTTGAAAGAGCATTTTTGAACTGAAATAATTTCTTAGCAACAAAGTAAATGGGGAAAAGCTCCTTAAATTCAGACACACAGGGTGACTCAAGCTTCCGAAAAAGCTCTATATTCTATATTAGGTTTTTGGTTTGTGATTTTTATTTCAATATTTTTGAAACGTAATATGAGGGCAGTGGTACAAAAAAATATGTACAGGGTGGTCGAAATTGGTCTGTTTTAATAGGGAAAACCTATTTCCTGACTAGATAGAGCAAAACCGACGTAGATGTCATGGGCTCGATTTCTGAGACACGTTTAATGGCATAAACCGCCTGTTGATATTTTCACTGCCAACTGAGATACGGGGTCTTTTTGATTTTTTCAACATTTTGAAAATTGCCCATAACTTTTTTATTTCGCGGAATAATAAAATTCTGTAAAGACGTTCTTAAGGCACTTTTTTAAGCACAATCCAGTGGCGTAGTGAGTTTTTTTCTATGCTTGCTCTTTTTGTCAGAAATAATAAAAAATATAATTTTTAAATGAAAATCATAGTTGGCTATGAACTTAAAAAAATGCTGACGTTTAACCATTTCGAACGATATAAAGTTATGGGTACCTATTTCTAAGAATGAGAGTAATATTAGGTTTTTTATTTTTGTATCGAAGTGTGCCTTGATTTTGTGTTGATCTAGTTGTCTAATTATTTTTTATCGCAATTTAATATTCTATATTATTATTTATCTGCATAATTAGAGACTTTTGAAAAGGTAAATTAACATTCTATATTAGTTTTAGTAATTACAATTGAAATTGATACAATAAACAAAGAACAAAGCTAAA